TTTACAATTTATTTAAAAATAATAATTCTTTGAAAATTAATCTAGTGCAGTAAGGACAGACATGCATATTTGACTCGACTAGGCATACGGACACATTTCACATTTGATGTCAGGAAAAAAACTTTAAGTCATGTGAAGCTCGCCTCTGTAAAAACACGGCAAACTTTTACAACTTTTTGTTTTATTTAACTAAATCACCTTTAGATTTAAGAAACAATAATCACACACACACATAATCTTATGACATTTTAGTCAAAAAACTATGACTAAATCTAAATCAAAATTTCCTGTCATAATTACATTATATGTAAACTTAGAACTATACAGCAAATGATTAAACTACTCGTGGTGGCTTTCTGCGGTTTATAGACTGCAAGGCTGACAGCAATGTTAAGCTATCTATGGTGAGTAAAATGAGCTGGCAATGGAATTTGATTGTACTACTCATTTATAATGTTTAGGCAATTTTAATTATCTTCAGTAATATATTAAATAAAGTAGCATCAGCTACAGGACTGGACAGCTGGCTAGTGACAGGATAATAACTTACTGTGAAATAATGAAGAAGACAAGGTAAACAAAACTTGAAGCTAACTAAGTAACCTCTCTAAACAGTAGGTGCTTTCTTATCATAATGCTACAGGTTTTATTTTAACAGGAAGCTGGGATTGTCAAATCTCTTGTGCAAGAGTCAGTGGTTACACTTTATACACAGTGACATTAGGACAGAGAAGGGAAACACAGGTGGTCATAGTGACATAAATAAAACAAGTGAAAGGCAACAGTTTGAAGAGCTGAATTCAAATATGATGCACGTAGTGGTGAATTCTGCTAAACTACATGGATTTTCATATAAATAATATATAAGAACTGGTCTTTGTTTCAAGAACCAAGAACTTTGTCTTAATAAGACTATTGACATATAACAGCAGTGCAGTGGTTAGCACTTGTGTGGAGTTTGCAGGATCTCCGTGTGCCTCCGCGGGTTTCCTCTTTGTATTGCTGCTTCCTCCCACAGTCTAAAAACAGACATGTTCAGTTAATCAGCCATTTGTAATTCGCCATTGATGTGAGGTAGATCTGGCAATATTTTGCTGTATTGAATTCATTAGGACAATCAGGTATCCCACTTCAGGTGGAACTGAATATCATTCATTTCCATCCTGTCTCACACATTTACATAATGTCCCATATTTTGATTTACTCTAATATTAAAAAGTTAACACGGCCTGACAGACACTTTTCATCCAAAACTGGCAAGCCTGCCATTATGAGGAAAGTGCAGGTTAACCTGTCACCATCTTTTGGTGCCAATGGAAAAGGACATGGAATAATAAGGACTTAAAGGCTATTTGCAAGTGGATAAGGCCAGTAACTCACAAGAAATGGTTTCTGAGAAAAAGATGTTGCAGATTTGTAGATGAAGTGGAAAAGCAGCTGAAATAACAGTTACTGGGAGAGATGACTCTAAGAAAACAAACAGAAGTTTGTATCATATTCAGGATGTAGCACAGCATGAGTTCTGTGTGTATAAAGCAAATAAATATATATTTTTTTAGCCACGGTCCAGACCTTGGACACAAAGAACCTTCAGCTTCTGTTGATGCTTACTGTTGACCCAGAAGGAGTTTGCAAAAGACATTCATTTAAAAGTTAGCTTGTTGGAATCTGCTAACTGCTCCGCTTAATAACATTTACAAAAAGGAAGTAAAATTTGTGCAAAAAAACCCCAATATCAAAAATATATAATATATAGATTTCTATGTGGCTTTAGAAATTTAAGATAAGATATACTTCAGTTATCCCAAAAGCTGGGAAATCACTTTGACAGCAAACAAATATATATATAAAAAAACAGACTAGCTCAATAAAATAGTTTCTTAAATGAAATCTCATAAAGGTTAAATGAATTGCTTAATAAATCACTAATAAAATAAATATAAGTTCTTTCTTTTTAAATGTACCCATAATGACAGATTATGAACTCTTTCTTTTGGCAGGCAAGATCAGTGGCTCTGTCTCCTACTTATGCATCTCCCCCAGTGAATAATAGGAGTCAGGTAAACAGTTGCAGTCTCATTAAATTTTTGAAAACAATCTACTGAATTTCCAGCTCATTCAATTCATTTAAACCATATGTTCATTATTAGGAGTTAACAAGTTTCATTTGTAATAGCAATGTATATTTTCTGTCCTCCTAGAAACCGTCCTGGTGGCCTTTTGACATTTCACCAACCAGTTTGGCCTTTGCTCTTATATGGCCATTTGTGGTACAGTGGCTTATCCGCCTATACTTGCAGAGGAGGAGAAGGTAAGAAACATATGGACAACACACATAGTCCAAAATTAGGTGAAAATTCACAACCTGCACTTAACAGACTTTTCCTCGGTCGTTAACAATAAAGATGAGTGAGTGGAAGTTTTTTGGTTTGTTTTATAATCTTACTAAAATCGTATTGACTCAAATGAGGTTCACTCCATTTCTTTGGCTACAGTGGTTTTGCTATAAAGTGCTTAAAAGATTGTCTGACTTTAAGAAGGTTTAAAAGAAAAAAATTATTTGCTTTCGTAAAGCGTCCCACACTTTTCAGGTATTTCTGATATTAACTAATTTCATTTTTTCTTTTTCTCCAAAAGACGAATCAACTGAACCCAGTGACACCTTAAATCGCCGTGGGCACGACAATAACAAATCCCCAAAATATTATGGATGGGTTGCTAATGGCTGTAACTCTTCCCCTGCTTAGACCCATGGCCCAGTAATTAGCTCTTGCACTATAAAGAAAGCCCCTAAAACTAACGAGAGCGAGGAAGCAGTCTCTCAGGCGCGTTGCAGCGTGGATGTGGAGTCACAAAGGAAGATGAAAGTATGGGCTTGCTGTCTGTGATTATCCAACTGTTTCAAGATGAATCTACTGTATTGGATTGTTTTTCTCTGTAAGAAATGGTCTGAGTCCAGCTGTAGAGTAGCTTCTCAATTATTTCCGTAACTGAGATATTATTGCACACAAATCTGCGTTTTCAGCTTAAGGTTTCATTTGATGTTACTAGAAATGTCCCCAATTCCCTTTCATTAGTTGCCCAGGTAATGCTGCTATAGTAAAATATTGTAATTACTGTAGAAATGAGGAATGAATGTATTAATTATTGAAATGTGAGATTCTTTTTCATTCTAAATTAATATTTATTGCTTTTAGCAACAGTTGCAATGAAGACGTTGCTGGCCAGCTTTCAGCTGTAAAAGTGAGATTTCTGTTGAAGTGAATATTTGTGTGTAGATCAGACCAGGTTCAGGATGTTTTCATCAACGGTTTTGCTACATATCAGTCTGCAATCACTTCAGATTGTTTTGTACTTCAGTTTCTAAATAGAAGAAGTGCCTCAGCATTACAAGGTATTTTGTACTGTAGGCATTATGATTTCTTACATTCTCTTATTGTAACATAACCCTTGCATTTCTGGACCAAATTCAGACTAATTGTACTACTTAGTGAGCCATGAATTAGCAGAAATCTTCCAATCTGATATCCTATAACTAATGCATAATGTTTGTCACCGTCTGTGTCGTTTCATTTTAATGTGTGAAGAATTTCATTGGGATGATAGTAATCGTGAATTGTTTGCAGAGCAGCGAGCTCCATATAAATTGTATACAATAGCTGTACAGTCCAAACAAAAATGCAATATTTTAATTGCATCTCTGTGTAATATGATACCATATTTACAAAGTATGGCATCTGCATTAGCACTGATCTTTCCAGCGCTATTATGTTTTAATTAAAGAAAAAAAATGCAATAGTTTACCTTTCTACTGAAATGTACTAAGGCTTTCTCACCCTCTCTGCCTGTGGATAGAGTGGTGTTTTGCATGTGATAATCTCAGCCTGAAATAAAGTTTTCACAAAGCAGGTTTGTCCACTTTATTTCAAATAAGTGGTTACTTGAGACCTCACAGTAAATCTACTATAGCCAGCAACAACTGCCTACACACTGTGCCCACTACACCAGAAGCAGTTGTGGGTCTGAGGATTTCATCCCAAATACCTAAGAGCACTCGGGCTATGTCCACACGTACCCGGGTATTTTTGAAAACGCAGATTTTTCTATGCGTTTGCACCTTTCGTCCACACGTAAACGGCGTTTTCGGTCACTGAAAACGGAGGTTTCTAAAAACTCCGGCCAGGGTGAATATTTTCTAAAACTCCGTTTTTGCATTTACGTGTGGACGAGAAAAACGGAGAAAACGCAGCGTCAAAGATGTGCACCTTTTTTGACGTCACAGTGTGCGCCACGTTATTGTTTCGGTGAAATGAATTTCTACAATACTGTTACTGTTAATTGTACTCTCTGCAGTGTTTAAATGCTTACATATACACACACAGTTACTGTCCCTCCAAACATATGACTCGGTTCTGCTTCTTTGCCCCAGCTTTGTTTACTATTTCCCGCCGAGGCTTCTAGACTTCTGATTGGCCAATATTTCTACACGGTTAGGAATATAGCGCCACCTACTGCTTTGGCATGTTCCTAGCAGCGTTTTCCTTCATTTCTGCGTTTACGTGTGGACGGGATTATTTTTTAAAACGAAAACGGAAAATCTCCGTTTTCAAAAATACCCGTGTACGTGTGGACATAGCCTCAGAGTACAAGTGGTTCGCAGGTCGAGCTTTGGATGGGCCTCCCCAGACCATCACTGAACTGGTCATGTTAGATGATTAACGTTCACCTGACTCTTCAACATCCATCAAATGTGGTCAGTGTGACCCTGCTCTCATCTGTGAAGAGAACAGGGTGCAAGTGACAGATCTTTTAGTTCTGAGTGTACATGTAGATGAGCAGTAGGGTGGCAGACCACCTCACGAAAAGCAGCAGATACCAGTCCTGTTACTGGGTTTACACCATTTTATGGCCTGGGCCAGCCCACCTTGTGTAACTGCTCATCTCCTGGTATTCCCTTCACATTTAATTTCTTTAAGAAGTGTACAGCTGAGATTTTTCCCCAACTAAAATTCTGCAAAAATACTCAAAGCACACATCTTGTTACAAACAGGTTTTATTTCTTTTTTCTTTTTTACTCAGAGTTAAGATAAAATTGTGCATGTAGCAAGAATTAACCAGTAGTGTGGAAAACTGAGCGGATACAACAATCAAAATTAGAAACATTACGTAAAATAAGTCCTGCTGGGATAAAGTAACAGTCTTGTCTTGAAACAACGCTACACTAAATTGACATACAGTATATAAGACATTATTTATGAATATGTTTTTCTTCAACACTGAAACATGACATTTGTACCAGTACAGCAGAAAATGGAGCATATTAACTTTAACATCCTCATCACAACAAAATCAAGCAGCAGATAAAGGGGTGCCTTGCTAGTAGAGTAATGCAACGCAGTAGTGCTAACATTAAAAAGATATTTCTTGTAGCTAAGTGGCCCTTTTTGATTGCACAAATGTAAAATGTTTTCTTTAAAAACAATATTACAACAATGAACGGAAAAGCCACCCTAATCCACATCTTCACCTCGCATTTACTTGCAGAAATCCACGGTAATGGTCTGAAGTGTTTAAAAAAAAATCACTCTCACATCATACATTCGAGCGAGAGAACAACTTCTATAGACTGAAGCCGGACACGGCAATGTGCTGAGCATTGTTTCTCGCATCAAAGTAAGAGGTGTCGGTTTCGTCGTCTGGTTGAGGTATGAAAGGCATCGGCTGGTTCTGCAGGTTGTCCCAGTCCAGGCCGTGAAACAGGGGGTGGCACTTCAGTTCTAATGGAAAATATAGGCAAATGACAAACAGCGAAACACACAACAACCTATTTCTTCTTCTTCTTTTGTTTTTGAGAACACATGCTCAAATTAACTTCCAACTTCTAAAGTCAGTATAAGTATTTTATGTTAAGTTAATCTGTTCTAAAATGGGGTGAATTTTCTGTATTTACATTACATTTTTCCTTATTTATTCATAAAAAATATAATAATTTGTGTTTTTATTGATGTGTTTATTTCTGTTTGGATGACAAATACTGTTGAAATTTTCACTTCACGGGATAGTTATTTATAAAGCCAGTTGTTTCTTTCTCTTTTGGTCTTTTATTTTGAAAGGTGGTCTCTACCTTTTAAGCCAGCGCGCTTTGTCATGTCCATGGTCAGCAGGATTTCAATGGCATTCCTGGAGTCTACAGATAACTCCTCCTCCCCCTCAGGCCAGGGTATATCTACAATAGTTGATAGTAACGTAGGCGTGTTGGTAATCGAGAAGAAGCTTAATGAGTTACATATTTTAGATGGTTTTGTGGTTGAGGGTTGGAAGAGAAGAGCAAACCCACCCCTGTTCAGAATATTCTGGAAGACCAGCTGGGGCGTCTCGTCATTGAATGGCGGCACACCTGTGAGGAACTCGAAAAGACACACACCAAGCGCCCACCAATCCACCATGAAGTCTGCCCAGGTAGACGACGACAACAACAACAAAAGAAGAAGGAATAGTCACATTTTTGTACCGCCGTGGGCCTCAAACGCCTCACTTTTCCCTGTGATTTCTGTTAGAGTGCACACTAACTGTACCGCAGTGGCAAAAGCAGGGACTACATTAGATACTGGAGAAGAAAACATTCTTTCATTCTCACATACAAAAACCTAAAAACAAATCATTAGGATTCGTTTGTTATAAAATTTGATGTCAATTCAAACAAGCAGAGTTCGTTGAGGGTAAAACAAACAGGGTGCCTGAGATTTGTCCTTACAAGCCTACAAACGTTGTGCTTCTCAAGGCTTATTTTTTAGTTCTCGATAGCTGCACAGACTTAAAACCATGATTACAGTTATAGGTCTCTACTATTGAGCGAATAAGACAATAGATGAATAAATTCATGTCACAGAAGTCAAATAGCAGCGATCAAGCTACAAAATTGCATTGTGCAACTGACAGGCGACACTGCCCTCAATGTGTTAACATCTGAATTAATAACAGCATGGCAGATCAATAGGTTATTATTAGATGACATTTTGTGTGATGCCAGTGCCACTGTGCATTGACAGTGTGTCAGAATTGACAAATTCTATAGATTTATAAGAACAAAAAGAAGAAAATCTTTTTTTTGCCAAATTAAAAGCACATCAGCCACAGCTAATCCGATTCCCCTGCTGGCACAATGGTGTTAAAAGAAACTTGAAAGACCCAATGCTTTAACCTTTAGAATCACACACTTGAACCACCTTCCCTTTCCCCTTTAATTAGGCCCACAGTTTGTTCACCGATCCAAAGGGCAGAAACAGCGGGGAAAGGGAAACGGGGCAGGAATCCGCTCATTTCCTACAGCGTATTAGCAGGCCGGGGAACATGCAAGCTCGCTTACAAAGAAACATTAACGTTAAAAACTTACCACACTGACCACTTCCTGAAACTAAAAGAGAGTGCCTGTCACAAGAGCTACAATGTCAAGCAAACTATTCAGTTAAAACAAGACTGAGACTGACTGACTTTGGCTTTGTCATCGTTACAGAACCTTCGAAGATTTCTCTCTCTTACCATGTGGTTTTCCCAGAAGAAGCTCTGGAGCCAAATAGTCAGGGGTTCCTAAAATTGGTACTCCCTCAACAGGCAGTGCTCCCCTTCGGACACTCTTTGGAGTCCTGTAAGGGGTATGAGAGGTCGACATGGGCTGAGGAGTCTGAGGAAACAAAAGCATTCATTTCATTAATATGTACATAATACTATAGAACTGCCTTTTATTGAATCATAAATATAACCTGTGACTGCCAAACTTTATTAAAGTGGTTGTCATTGTCAGTTATGTAGAAGATCTTCGAACTTCAGTTAAAGAGGGGCAACCAATTAGAAGAAAGTCAACTTAAAGTCAGAGGACAGGAAGTTGATAAGATTAAAAAAAATTGTGAGACAAGCAAAATTACTCTAGTAGAGCAACAAAATAAAAATACTGACTTAACAATGAGAGCGTCAGCTTGCGTTTCTGGGGCTATGCAGACTGCTGTATTCCTTGCCCTTCCGTGCCTACCTGATAGAGAGAACCACTGGAGCTGGGTCTCTTCTGCACTGGTGTTGCAGCTCCAGATGCGACGTTACAAGAAGCCGTTGTGGACACGTCCATAGCTTCCACAGATCCCATGCTAAGTCGGGACACCCCGGACACGTTGGACCGATTAATGGAGCTACAATAACTACGGAAGGCTACGACATTTCGCGGCTTGAGGAATAAAGGGGACTCCGCATCACTGCAAGCGAGCTCGGGAAGTCGGTTCGCAAAGAAACAGCGAGATTCATCTCTCTCCAGAAAATGACCAAGTTTAGGTGTTTCAACAGTGGCCACAGGAGTTTTTGGTAGTGATGCAGTATAGAAGGAGTCTTTACTTTCTTTGTCCTCCTCTGGTGATAATGAATTCCTGTGTTTGACAGGCTCAGTTGGCTGGAGGGATGGATGGCTGTCTATAGTGAAAGACATTTCGTGCATAGACCCGTCAGAGTCCATGCTCAGGTTCCTACAAATGTCACTTGTCCCAGGAAGTGGTGACGTGAAACTCGTATGTGACAGGTCTTTGGCTCCACCTTCAAATACATCCTCCACCGGCTCTTCCAGTTCATAAAACAGACTTTTGGCTACAGCAACGGGACTGGAGCGCTTCGGCACCCGCTCTTCAGTTGCCCCGATCCCCTCAGTGGAGACCATGAAGTCGCCTATTTTGATGGTGGAAAATGTTCCAGTCAAGCCAGTGTGAAACCTCTCAGTCTCCACAGGAATCTCATAGAACCTCTTGTAGTCTGTGTTTCTCTTTTTGGCTCGGATCTCTGGTGTCTCTGGACTTCTTTGTAAATCTGAAAATGTTCTCTTCACAGATGAGGGAACTGCTAATTGACAAACATTCTCCTGAGCTGTGGAGACAGACTCCTGGTTGTTCGTATGGCATTTATTTTCTACAAGATGAGCTTCATTTGACTTTTTTGATTGACTGCAAGAGGCCTTATCAGAAAAGCAAAAAGTGTCCCGTTTTGTGGGCGGACTGTCCTCTTTGGGCACCTTCAACTCAGATCGCCCTCTCCCGTTCTGGTCATTCATGTGTTCATTCTCTTTCTGAAGAAAAAAAAAAAGTCACAATATGCAATGAAATGTGAGTGAGACACTTTATGAACAGGAAAACTCCAAGCCAAAAAACTTTATTGGTCTTTAATTACACATGGATAAAAATAAGAATTAAGAAAATCCACTTACCTCCTCACACTCCCACAGTGGACTGGTGCCACCGTCAGTGTCAGTAGTGCTGCCTGCACTCATCGTCTGAAACCTGCTCCTGGTCTTCATCAATGTGGGAGTCAGATTTTTTGTCAAATTATGAGGACTAAACACGTTGCTCTTCGGTCCTATCAGATAAAATTTAGAAGAAAAAAACTGAACAAAAGGCGAAATTAGCATACATTTTCATTGTCAGCATAACTCGTCTTTCCACATGAACAAAGAATGACAAAATGCCAAGAGGATAGCTCTTGGCTGTCTACTACAGCCTGACAGCATCAGCTAATAATGACCTATCACTTAAAAATCTGCATCATATGCTTTCATGTTGTAACTTCATGGTATATTGATAACCATTTTGTTACCAACTTTAAAGCATGTATTTAACAGGAACCCTTATTATTTCCCCTTTTTAGTAAAATTTCTAACATAATGTAGGCAAAAAGAAAATAAATAAATCAACCCCCCAAAATAAAATGTCCTTGATGACATACTCAGTTTCCAAGGGTAGCGAGCAGGTGAAGACAGGCGATCTATTTTCTTCATTACAGGAGAATCAAGAGATTTATTCCTTGGTTTTATTTTGCCGCACGACATGGGACTGGACACCACAGTAGCGCTGCAGTGACGCTTGCCTTCTGCTGCTGGTGTATTCTGTGTTTAACAGAATAAAGGAAAAAGAGGAATTATGTAACACACACACAAAACAACACATCTGATAGTTTTCCTGCATGTGAAGTGATTTGAATTTACTTACAAATCCAAGGGAGCTGATTAAAGAGAGGACTTGGCCTGGCGTGCGGGAATAATCCTTCTTGGGTTTAGCCAAAGATGGCGTAGTGAGGATATCCATAAGACTCAGCTCTAATATAGAAAGCACAGAGGTAAAGGAACTATTAATAATATTTCTAAAGGTGATGGTTACAATGTGCAAAAGCTGCTGGGAAGTCAAACCTCTGTCCAGCTTGACTTTAGAAAGGCCAAAATCTGTTAGTTTAATGTGGCCTTCGTTGGATATGAGCATGTTGTCTGGCTTCAGATCTCTGGAAAAAAAAATTGTTACAGTTCAAAAATGCATATAAACGTCGATCAAATTGAATGAAAGTGCAAGATTTGCATACACTGTAAAAGTACCTGTGAATTATACCATGACGATGGAGATAGTCTAAAGCCAGTGCGACCTCTGAGATGTATTTTACAGCCATATCCTGGTCAAAATAGCCATAGATATGAAGGAGAGATTTGACATCTCCACCAATGAGGTATTCCATTACCTGTAAGCATAAACAATGACTTAATAAACGGGGTCATTAACATGTTTAACGCGAGTCTATTTTTTCATCTCTGGACGTTACCAGATAGATCTTGGTGGCTGTCTGAAGGGAGTAAAACAGGTGAACCACGAAGGGACTTTTGCTCAAAGCGAGGGCATCTCGCTCTGCCTTCAGCTGGTTTGTCATGTTTTTATCCACCATATCGGCTTTCTTCATCACCTATGAGGCAGAAGAAATGTGCATTTAAGTAAGCTAGATCTCCGTTTAATGATTTAGAATAAGCACAGGTTAAAAACCCACTAACCTTAATGGCATATAAGCGTGCGTTGCAGTTCTTCCGTGCAAGGTAGACCTTGCCAAAAGCCCCGCGGCTGATGGGCTTCAGCACGACGAAATCGTTGATAGACGGCGGTTTAGGGTGATGATCTACAGATTTCACGCCGGCACACGAGCGGTGCTCTTCCTCTGCATCCATTATTTAACTGCTTTAAAATGAGGGTTACGTCTGTGTAAGCCAGCCAGCTCGAAGTAAACAACACGCACTTGCAAAAGAACGGATTCTCTGGTTTGTTTTGAAATTTTGAATTCCGCAGATCTTTCACAGGGACCCCACTTAGTTGTCCAAGAAAGCGCCTACGTGAAAAAGAACAACCTGTACTTGAACAACCTGTGTACTGTAATTAGACGCTAGTTAATTTTGGCCGTCTAATTACAATTAAAACAATTATTTACCAGAAATCCATTATTTTGGAAACTGTTTTTAAATTTTGATCAGGCACTCACGAACAGACCAAAATGAGAAAAACGTGAAAATTAAATAGAAAAATGAATAATAACTGCTACGCTTTTTTACTGTAAGCCATCTGATGCAAGTGAAGATTTCTTTTGTCATTTCTACGCATTATAAATTAATTTTAGTGAGTTCAAGGAAACAATCGCAATGATGCAAGCATCACCCGGTAGTAGTTCTTCTTTACGTCATTTTGTAGTCCGTTTGACCTCAGATGCCGGGGGATCCATTTGGCGTTATTAGCTGAAAAAAAAAGTTGTGTAACTGTTGAAAGTTGTGTAACAAGGAAAACCAAAAGGACGCCCCTTTCGGGAGGACGCATTCATTTGGGTTATATAGAGGGTCTGTCCTTACAAACCAGCCCTCCAACGTCCGTTTTTGTAGCATCCATTGGCAAAAATGTTTTCGCTGTCTTCGTCATTTCAGCCACAGCAGGTAAGCCGACTAGATAGCGGCTTATTGACTTGGCTAGCTCATGTGTGTTTTTCTCGGAGTGAATTTAGTCTTTAGTTGTAAGTTAGTGTTTATTTTAGGACTGTTATGGGAGTTATATCGACATGTAGCTCTGCTGCCTGTTGCTTATTTCACCCCCTTTTTTCCCTTTAGCTCGCTTAGTGTTAGCAAGAACATAACGATTACTCTAGAATAAGCCCGTGCTACGTCACGCTGTCACCCTGTGTCGGTGAGGAGACGAGCGTGATACGTGAGGTTTCGGTCGTGGCTTTACCCAGAGATACGTGAAGGAAAATCTAGGTTAATTTAAGCAAAGTATTTGAAAAAAAACATTCAAAGAGTAGAGGTTACATAACTCCCATACGTCTGCCGTATGTGGGCCAAAACGCTCTACGTGCAGAATAACACTGACATAACAGTCCTGACCACGCTGTCTCCGCCTGGAAGGCTCATTTAAAAACAAAAAACAAGTAGAATGTCTATGAAGACAATAACACTAAATGTACATGCAGAAAATGTGAGGTGCTATGAGAGTGTTTTAAGCTACTGCTGTTCTTGTGTCTTCCCAGATGATAGTGCCTCTCAGCCAGCTCATCAATGCCCTCCACTCTCTGAAGAATTCAGCCACAGCTTCAATCCAGGCTCTTCACAAAGACTTCAATCCAGAGCACAGTGCATTTCTGAGAGAGGTGAGATCCATCTCCTCAGGATAGTAGCTGAAGGTGACATAGTACATGTTTTGTTGCAATGGACTATCTAAGGTAAACCACAGATCTGTTGATGGCGACTTTATGGAAGTATGTTTATGAGTAAACTTTATTGAATCTTCACTACTTTTAATGGCCGCACACTATATTATACTGTACCATAGTAATGTGTCTAATTAAAGGATATATCTCTTTGTTCACTGTTTTAACGATCATTGCCTTGTCCTTATGGATCAGGTTACTCCTCAGAAAATAGGTCATTGCATATTTTGCAACGAGCGACTAAGGAAGACCACGGGTCTGACTGTCCATAGAGAAAATTTTAAAGGATTTCTCCACTCTTCTAATGAGGACGTGAAAGAGGCTTGATCTTCTTTTTTCAATAATTTTATGAATCATAATAAGAGTGATCCTCTACATCAACATGCTCTGATAAAGTGTCAAAGTGGTCTGCTTGTCAATCGATGTTTGAAAAGGGCAGTGGACTTTCCATGAAAAGTCTCCCTGTTTCTATGAAGACAATAACACTAAAAGACTTGGTTACCAAAATGGGAAAAAGAAAACCCTCATCATCCTCGTTAGAGATTTTACCTGTTTGGGACTCTTCTCTGGCTCTGCATTAGACAGGTTTTCCTCATATTTATCTGACTGGGCTTTCTCTGTTAGGTTGAATATATTCTCCTTTAACACTGTTTCTCTAACCTGTGAGCTGCAAGGCTTAATCCTGGCTCCATTATTGCCAATAATGCCTTTAGCTGGCATTATTAGATTTGTTTTTTTCGGAAAATCTTCATCATTTTCATGCCAGTAAAATGCATATACAGCTGAATTTCAAGCCTTATCAGCTGGATAGATTGTCCAACCTAACTGAATGTTTATCCGGATAAGTTACTGGATCTCCAGTAATTACTTTGTTATGTGTTCCAAAAACACAGAGGCTGTGATTATAGTTCATTGTGTTGCTTATCTGCTAAGTCCAGTCTTCATAATCTTGGTGTTATATTTGATTCCTCTCTGGGCTTTGACTCACACGCAACATCTACTTTGACGTACCTGTTTTGTTTTGTTTTTTCAATTTAAGGAGTATTTCTAAATTGTAAGGTATAGTTTTCTCAGATGAACTTGAGAAAATGTCATGACTCCAGCTGATACAAAATGCTGATATATCCTAGTAAGCAAGCTTGTATTACTCCTGTTTTATACTCCTTACATTTGTTCCCAGTTTATTTTAGAATAAAGAGCACTAAATGGCCAAGTTATATTCTGTTTATCTAAACTTCTTCTTAAACACGCTCTTGCTCACAGTCTGAGATCCTAGGCTCAGAATTTGTTGGTTGTTCCTCAGGTGAGATTGAAGACTGGAGGCTATTGCATTTTTATTGCGACTATTTCTCATTTTTATTTATTTTTCTGTGTCATCTTTACTTATGTACTTACTTACTTTTAGGCGATCAGTTGCTCCATAGAGTAGGGCAGGGCAATATGGCCAAAGATATTTATCACGATATAATATGATAATATAATATGAAAACAAAGGCACTGCGCACACGCGTTTTACCCATATTCTATCACGATATTTCATTTTCTTATTATTGCCTAACGTTATATCGGTATTATATATTATACCGTGAACAGTATGATATGGCCCAGCCCTACCTTAGAGTTGTAGATGACCTACCTTTGCTGTCCTTCACTTATAGCCCAGTGTGAGTCTGAAGGATCTGGGTCTGTCCGAGCTCAGGGCGAGTCAGCTGGATGAGCTCATCAGCAGGTTACTGCCTACACCGGGGCCAGAAGAGCCTCCCGCTGTTCCTTCGATATGGAGAACGAGCCACGTTTCTGCAGACAGCTTCTTTCACAACAAGCACGGTGAGCAGCTCAGTCGAGCTTTATTTATTTAACCAGATGTTTTAATGTGAAACAGACCTTGAGATTTTTTTCTCTTTTTGTACGATTTGTCTCACAGGGTTCTCACACAGGAATTTAGGGCTTTTCAGCTCACAATTATTCCACAGACAATACCACAGCCCACTAAGACAAGCTTGCTCAGAACTACAGTTTTTGCCTGGTAAGAAGCTGACGTTATACAAACTTAGTGGCATTAAAGCCCCTTTCAGGCATGCACTCCTTTCCATTTATCTGAAGGCACCTGAGCTTTTTTGGCCTCATGCCTGAGTGAAAAGTCAAAACACAATCTTACAATTTATACAGGTCCGATACATATGTTCTGTATATGCTCTTCGTTACATTGCTTAGCTCTCAAAAAGCAGTCTTGGTTTAGGCCTTCAATAGCAGTAAGACGGAAAAAGCAATTTGGGGCTATCAATGGCTCCACTGGATGGCTTTCACTGTCCTTAACACTCAGTTTCACTTTACAACAAACAGGTTCTGTTTGTTATGAGTTGGTCTTCACAGCAGGGCCTGAGCTAAATCACAGCCACCTGGGGGGGCCCTATATAAACAGCAATACCGTGCAGCACACAAAAACTATGCTGTTTTGCAACAACACTGGCAATGATTACATTTTCAAAAGTGTAGTTACATGTGATTAGAGCACAGCTAGACTTACTTATGATAAACAGCTGTCATTTTAACAGACTGAAGAAGCCAGAAATGTTATATACCCTATGTCTGAAAAAGGTTAAAGATACTTGACATATAATCACATGTTTTCTGTCTGTGTAGTACGGGTCCAAAGTCGCGGGTTCAAGACACTTCGATCAAGGACCAGACGGGCGGAGTCTGGTTATGACGGTCCCGTGGAATCTGAAGCCTACACTCCAGGCTTCATGAAGGTATGCCACCACACGACTGATGTATCTGTTGCACTGTTATGAATACAGACTGTTGGTTAATCCAACATAAATTCAGTATTTACTAAATAAGCATTATTTCTCGGACACTGCACAGTTAGATATGCAGTTAGAACGAACAACATACCGTAGTTTTCGGGTCATAAGCCGCTACTTTTTTCCAACACTGTGAACACTGTGGCTCTTACTGACGTGCGGCTAATGCATATTTTCTTTCATGCGGCCAAAAATATTTTGCCTGGTAACAGTAGACCAATAAAATTGATAAATAGTATATATACGGTATTTATTTTTACCGGTTGTTAAGAGACGTTGTAATGTTGTTTGTGCACTGTTCCGTAAAAAAACATAAGCAACGTAATTTGTGTGTTACTGATACGCACGTATACTTAAAGGTAGCCGTGTTACAGGCGCTGTTCGAGGAAAAAAAGCATTTGCAGTATGTATTTTAGTACCATAACGTTTATGTTACCATGTTTATGTTACCTTACGGATTAAATTAAATGTTAAAAATCCTCACGTGTAATATTTCTGTGTAAATATCTCATATTACAAGTGAAACGCATACGGCTTAAAATCCGGTGCGGCCTGTACAAGTACAAAATTGATTTTCTTTCTAAAATTAG